GGAGGAGGAGGAGGAGGAGGAGGAGAAGGCTGAAGAATGAAAAAAGTGCAACTGAGGTGAAAACAGGAAAAGAACAATGGCAAACGAACTTTCTGTCGCAGTGACAGCTGTATTGCGACTAAGAGACAATGAGAACTGGGAGAAGAGAGGGCAAGCTACTAGTTGCGTGCTCTGTCATCTCTCCAACCGCTTCTCAAAGATTGACGGGAAAATCGATATCGTCGCGAGATCGTATCAACCAAATACCGACGCACGACGCACTCTTGCCACAGTGTTGCCTTGTCGTTACCTGAGTTTCCTTAATAATATGATTTTCATTTGTACTAGGTATGGGGCTAAAGAATCAGAGGAAGACCAGGTAACACTGAATTAAGGGTATATAACACGATCAGTTAAAACTGACAGTTGTTCGTCCTCTTTGTTGTAAGGAGATGCTACTGTACATAATGCAATCTGGGGGGAGGGGGGCTTTAAACTTTTTTGAGATCCTCTAAATCAAGAGGGAAAAATTGACTCGCAAGTCACTTTGTTCATCTTAATACGTTGGTTTCAAATTTGATTTTATTTTTTACGATGTCACGTGGGTTTTTTTAAGTTTATAAAACAAACTTTTAATACGCCCTTAAGGGAACTTAAACAATGGTCGACGGAGAATGTCCAGGGCAATGCCTTTTGAGACCAAAATGAGCGGAGAAGATTAAACGAATGGCGAACCATGATAGTCGATCTTTCTCTCAGTTTCCGATCTGTTACTTGAAGAAGAAGAATAAAAATGCATTATAGTCTGCAGCCTTTCTACTGCTACTCTTTGGGTCCTTCTTACTGCTATTTTTCAGCAACACCCCTGACATTACGGTAGGTAAGAGCTAACACCTTGACTTCTCAGATGGTGGGGACAAATCTCGGAGATCCCTTGTGCAAATTGCGCACGCTAAAGATTCTTTTTGGTCCAAAATCGATAAAAGTAGGTTTTGGCCTCCACACGAGCAAAATTCACAATTTCCCAAAAACTGAAAATGTTTAATGTGTCCCGCGCGCTCACGACCTTATGCAGTTGTGAGCGCCGTAAAACATTTACTAAAACTAAAACTAAAACTAAACTTCTTTTCTCTGTGATATGTTACCTTCAGTAACAAAAAACAACAAAGAAACCGCATAATAAATTATGATATCCTTCACAACAGGAGGTTAGACAGGAAAGGAGTGCCTCTTTTTCAAAATGACCAACTCTCTAAACTCTTTATTGACAAGAAAATGAGTACAACCTTAATACGCTTGAAAAATGTGATTGTCAATGACTTTGTTCAACTTGCTTGTAGCTATTTAAAATGCTTGTTTATAAACTTATCAAAAACAATTCTTATCGTAAAAATGATATAATTAAACTTGGAACCAGCGTATCAAGATGAACAAAATGATATTTGAGCGACTTTCTCCCCCTGGATTTAGAGAATCACAAAAAGAAGTTTTTCGTTAAAGAAATCAACAAGAATGTTGTCCGAAATATTTCACAGATGAATGGCACAGAAGCTGGTCTATAAAATCTAGCCTCTCCCAGAAACCAGTTCGTTAATCTCCTGTACAATTATTGTAGTTTTTTAATACAGAAACATCAAAATTTATGTAATTTTTGTCGTGCGAAGTCGTTGTCAACTTTCCGTGCCATGATTTATGTTCCATCTAGATCACTCAGATCAGGCGACCAGTATCTTTTACGAGTTCCTAGAAAAGGCGGTAAAAAAATTAGCCACCTTGCTCCGTCAGTTTGGAACTCTCTTCCCCAACCCTTGAGACATACAACATCTGAGTCTAAATTTTAAAAATCTTTAAA